CTTAAACGAAGCGCGATCGTTTTGAAAAAAAGTCTAAATGTTCATGAATATTAGAAAGACATTGAACTCAGGTACGGGAAGCTCCAGCAATATTTGCCTTAAGGTACGATGCCAGAACTAGCTTTCGAACATTCGAAAATATTAATCTTCTATATATATAAAAATAAGTGGGGTTTCCTTCCTGACGAAATAACTCCAAAACGCACGAACCGATTTCGACAACTTTGCATTTGTTGGAAAGGTCTCGGGCTCCGCAAGGTTTATAGCTAAGAAAATTAGTTGTGCATGGCATCGTGCCTTAATGCAAGCTGCTGGAACTTCACGCACCGTAATTAAAAATTAGAGTAATGGCATTAGTGAGAATTATCAGAATTATGCTTGGTTAAGTCCGTATCATCGTTTATCCGTTAGACGGCGACTTGCGATTGCTTTGAAATAAAGTTCAAAATTCCCAAAATAAATCAAAATAAACATTTTTTTTTCAAAAAGTCTTTTTTCAAAAAAGTCAATTCTTGTCAAAAATTAAAATTTTCTCAAAAATCTAATTTTTTTAAAGTAAAATTTTTCAAAAATTTTAATCTTTTTTAACTTCCCGTAGGGCAAGTTATAGTAATCGCAAAAAAATCGAAAATGAAAATTTTTATATATATTTACGTTTCAGAGGTTTCTGAACATTTTGGCATGCCTTAGAAAAAATGGATGTATGTGTGTGTGTGTATGTGTGTGTGTATGTGTGTGTGTGTGTGTGTGTATGTATGTATGTATGTGTGTGTATGTATGTGCGGATACAAATTTTCGTCGACGATTTCGGGAACACGGATCAACCGATTTGAATAATTCAAAGAACATTCGATCCGTATTGATAAGGAGACGTGCTGATTAGTTTTTGGCGAAGGCAGGTCAAGCCGTTCCGAAGATACGGGGCAAAAAGTGCCGAAAACGGTAACTCAGTTTTTAAGAGAACGGAGCGTCCGATTTGAATAATTCAAAAAACATTTTATTTGTATTGACTAAATGAACAACTGTTTAAATTTTTGGAAAGGCAGGTCCAACGACTTTGGAGATATGGAGGAAAAAGTAAAAAAATGAGCCATTTGGCGGTCAAAAATGAACATTAGACATATGCACATCAAATTATCAGATATTTTATAGAAATTTTAACAATAAGTATAATTTTTTTTTACATTTCTATGGGTTCCGTACCAATGCTTATGCGTTAGACGGCGGCGCGGCACTTGCGCGCTTCGATATTTCGTCTCTATGCAGTTCAAGCAGTGCGATTGCTTTGAAAAAAAGTTCAAAATTTACAAAATATGTCAAAATGAAGAAAACATTTTTTTTGTTTTCAAAAAAATTTTTTTTCCAAAAAAATTTTTTTTTTTTCAAATTAAAAAATTTTTTTTTCTAAAAAAAGTAATTTTTTGTCAATTTTATAGTTTCTCAAAAATCTATTTTTTTTCGAAGTAAAATTTTTTCAAAAATGTTAATCGTTTTTAAAAAAATAAAAATTTTTGGTACGGGAAGTTCCAGCAATTTGCCTTAAGGCACGATGCCCTAATTGCCTCAAGACAGAATTCCACTTACAGCTAGTTTAAAATTATTTTGAAAAGGGGAAGTTCCAGCAATTTGCTTTAAGGCACGTTGCCATACACCACTAGTTTTTTTTAATTTAAAATCAAAAATATCAATTACCTCTTTATTATAATGTTTGCTCTGCACATTATGAGTCGGGATCACGTTCATAGAATTACACAACACCGAATAATAATTATGAAAATAATTTCTGTACGATAAAAATTCATCTTCGTTTTCATCTTCGATACTTCCTTCACGTTTATTTCTCAATTCCATTTCGAATGTAATTAATCTACATTTTTTAGTGAATTAATTCAAAGTCAATATATTCTACTTTTTTTAGATGCGAACAAAATTGAAAATGTCAATTTTGACGTTGAAACGTAGACTTTTCTGTTTACTCGATTTATAAGATTGATATTAAAAACATTCGAAGTTATTAAATTACAAATATCGATGGAGCGATATCGGATGCCATTTTCTTTATGGATTCTGTGATACGCGTTTTAACTCACAAATATTTTCTTAAGACGGAAAAATGAGACCGAGGTTAAATACGAAAGTATATTGCTATTTTTTTCAAGTTTTCGCACAATTTTTCATTATACTTTCGAACACACATTCCTAAATTTATAAAAATCCATTACAATAAAATAATTTCAATGCTTATTTCCATCATAAAGGAAAATATATGATATACATGGTGTGATATAATTAATAATAAGGCAAATTGCTGGAACTTCCCGTACCATAATCAAATATTCGAAGAATAAAATTTAGTTAAAAAAAATTGCACTCGTATAGGATAGTGCTGGCGGAGCACCAAAGTCCAATTTGAGTTCAAGTAATTATACTGTCTAAAAACCCAATAAACTACATCACAACACATAACACTTATCAAGCAAATAACTATCGTACTATATTCGAAATAATAGGTATAATATTCAATCAAAGCAAAATAGAAATTTTATGGGAACATTTTTTTTACAAAGATAACACTATATATAACCTCGATCTGTATTTCGTCAGATATATTCATCAGCATATTTGGAATAACTATTAAATTCATTTATTTTTTGTAAAATCGCTTTTAAACTGAATTTACATTTTCTTCACTATTTTTTATTGTTTACGTTTTTGCCAGGGTAAAGGTTCAATCGGTCTTTTTTTCCCCCACCTACATGTAAGCTATTATAAAGATTATATAAAAATATCTGTTGAATCTAACTTAAAATTAACAATACATATTATAAAACAATTAAATAACGTGTACTTCAAAATTAAATTAAGGTCTCATAAACTAAACAACAGTGATCACAACCAGTAAACCTAACAACGAAATAAAATACTTTTGTTATAGATATACTTTTGTTATAGATTTTCAGACATGACCATTTATCTCCTGATAGCGACGTCGCTTGATTTGAGACTAGAGCTGATGTTTTTCCCTCTACTTTCAAATATTGTTTGAAAAAATCCTAACTTTACTTGTTTTTGATATATTGGTGGTGTACTTTTTTTGCCCATTTAAAACATTTCGAAAGCTTTGAGTGCCAGATTACAGAAATGATATTACAATAGTATTTTCGTTGCTTTGGATTTAAAAATAAAACACACAAGGTGATATTTCGTAAGGCAGAAACGAGATATTTCCTTATGTTGGGTGACACCCACGAGATACCTATGGATAATTTATCACAAGAGTTATATTTTACATGTCTACCACATATTTTATTTTTTATACTATAAGATGCTATTTTCTTCTTTAAATTTTGCATGCGTTTTTCGTACTACACAAGAATGTTTTTTTGTCATAATCATCATCTTAAAGATGTTTCATATTTAAGCACATTACTTATATTTCGTACAACATTGCCATCTAAATTATAATCTTCGTTCTTTATTTTGTTATTTAGATATCTAAACGATCATCATATTGAGCTATTACAGGCTCCGATTCTGTCGCACAACAGACCAATGTTATGGCAAGGCCATGTTGCGTTCCAACTTACATGCATTATGCTACTGAATTGTACTGAATACTGTCAAAGTGTGCATTCAGGCGTTTTACACATAAACTGCAACGTCACTTGTGTGTTACGAAGCTGGGTCAAAAAGACCCTGTTATCTAAGATCTTTTTTTTTACATTTGTGCGATTTAAGTGAAGTTTCCTATCTGACAGCCTGAGAAAGTCGCCTGATTGCAGTGCAACCACATGGATTTTGCCAATATTTAGTATGGAAAGTTTTTCATAAAATAGCCTTGCCATAATATTGGTATATTGTGCGGTAGAATCCGTCCATGATTATATAATAGGAAATAGAAAATCAACTATCTAGTTTTCACAATGATCAGTTTCAAATTATGATGCTGGCTTTTCACTGAAAGTCACTTTCTACTTTGCATCTCTAAACACCACTGAAAATATTATTTTAATATGAATGTTGCCTTATCCTTCATAAAAGAAGACTATACATCAAAATAGTGACTCAAGCAAGGCTATCATAGTCGTTGGAAGCAAGGAGAACAATAATTTATATATTTCGACTAGCAAACCCGACGAACTCCGTTTCGCCACCAGATGGTTTCGTCAGAAAGATGAAGAAATTTTTTGTTTGTTTTATATTTGAAAAGGAAAAATTTGATTTTATTACACAATAGTAATGAATTTATTTCGCTTACAAAAATGAAGTATTTTTTAGTTGAACTTCTCTAAGTAAATGAAAGTGAATCCGCAAATTATCCGTTTCATTGAAGTGCTCTTTGGTAAACCACATTTTTTGTTTTTTGGTCTGACGTCAACACAAACAAAGCGGATGGTTTCTCAACTCGTGAACAGGCAACGTATAACTGTCCATGTGAAAAACAATGATTTTCTAAATAATCTATTCGAAATTTATCCCGCAAACACTAAGCGATTGGCCTTGCGACATGTTAATTGTCATTGCGAACGAAAGGCGAACTGGAAATTGCAATCGTTTGAAGTCAAACGGAAGATCAGTCGGGAACATTGGTATGTCACCAAATCGCCAGCAATTTTGCGTGTACATCATTATTCTTTGCGGCAAGAATTGCTCGTTGACTTAACCAAGCATAATTCTGATAATTCTCACTAATGCCATTACTCGAATTTTTAATTACGATGCGTAAAATTCCAGCAATTTGCATTAAGGCACGATGCCATGCACCTAATTTTCTTAGCTATAAACCTTGCGGAGACCGAGACCTTTCCAACGAATGCAAAATTGTCGAAATCGGTTCGTGCGTTCTGGAGTTATATCGTCAGGATGGAAAACCCGACTTATTTTTATATATATTTAGATATTGTTTTTATACACGTTTTCTGAAAGCACTTTATTATTATGATTCCGTACATATGCAATAATTTTAATAATTTGATTAATATATTTTCTATTAATTTCAGGTTATCCTGCACGAGGCTGGGACAATGGGCGATTGGCTATGTAACAGCAGAAGGAGATATATTGCAAACGATACCTCAAAATAAATCACTTTGTCAAGCCTTGCTCGATGGATTTCGGGAAGGATTGTAAGAAACTTGACCTATTTATTTTTGATATTATATATTGTTTTTATAATATTATTATGTTTGATATAAAGGTATTTAGTTGTCTTTGAAATCTGTCTCCGAAACTGAATAACTAACTCTTGTTTTTTTTTTTGTCTTTTTAGCATTTTATTAAAATCCATTTTTACCATAATTCATAATTTTATAATAACAAAGTTTCTCTTATTTTTTAATTAATATCATTTATGAAGATACTTAGTTTCGAAACTTAGATAATAAATTATATATAAAAATAGAGTGCGCGTAAGGTTCACACGCGATTGAAGTAAAACTGTTTTTTTTCGTACGAGATGGCATTTAAGTTAAAAATAAAAACATCATATAACAATTTTCAATAATGTTTCTTAGTAATATGGTAACACTCGCGATGCATACATATTTTAATAATGTAATTTAAGTCATACTTCAAATACGACATGATCGGTTTGTCATTGTAATGAGCATTTAGAACTTGAACCTTAGAGAAATTGCATTAGAGAAATGAAGTAAATGCTGTTCACTAATAATAAATTCTATAATATTCGTTAACACAGTCTACAGCTGTAATATAACAGTTTTGTATAATTTCATTAAAACTAGCAATAAATAAACTGTATAGATGTCTACTATGAAGTATATCTGTATTCTGTATATAAATGATACACAGCTATACAAACTATTGTTGTGCTTGATCTCTTTGTTAGAGTAATAAATCTGAATATCAATTCATTTTTCATTATTTATGATTATTTAAAAAAATATGTAACTTTGTAATACTTTACGAAAATTGTAAGCTTTGACATTTGAACGAAAACAGTTGTTTCACTTATCAATCAATTAACATGCATTCATTGACTGTTTGTTTTTTTGACTATTTCGCTAGCGATACAGTCTCATTCTTTGAGCACCTGTACTATGTGTCTTGCTTATAAAAATAATTTCTAAAAATATATAGTAACCACGAATAATACAAATTATTTCAATAAACTTACGTTCCTCACACGGCACATATTTTTCATTTGTTTTATTATTTTCACGCAAAGAACACTCTCACGTGACATGACGATCAATCTCAATCGATCCGCATAGAAATGAGAGCGAATGACGACTTAAGCGTAACGCTCTTCCGTTGCATTTTCACAAATTCGCATCCTAGTAGCGCCTAAAGATGTTTCACTTCAAAAAAAGTTTGACCTTTTTATTTGGATCTCCAAATCAGAATATCAATATCAGAAGAACTGAATCTTTGAGCTTTTGTAGGTGTTTTCAATTTATTTCCTTGTTTCATGTAATTGATAAATTGTTATTGCTTATTTTTTACAAAGAGAAACGACTGCAAAATATAATTGTGCCAGTGACATTTATTTATTTACCGTTCTTTACTATAAAAACAGGTGTATTAATTTCCTAAGTTTTGTTGTTTCCAACTTGTTATAAAAGCGTAGAAGGAAACGTTTCCTTTTCATTTTTATTTAGTGTATATCTTGTTATTTTTGTATAAGATATCTTGTTATTTCTTCAGGTATAATATATCGTATGTTGTTTTTATATTTTATTCAATTTGTTTTTGCCTTTGAGTCTATTTGATATAGGTATGCAATAAAACATGATAAACAATTTAATGGAAAATGTTACAAGACTTCGGATATTTCTTCTCTTATTAGGTTCTTCATGATTTGATATTTTTATTAAAATAATAAATACAGAGATGAGAAAAATAATTACTTTAGAAGGAAAATGCAAAATAATATCCTTCAGCTAGAATGTTGTTTGTTGTAAAGTGATTGCCAATTATTCATGATAATCATTTTTTAAATATAGGGTAGAGCAGGGCTAAAACATCTATACCAGCGATATCTCAAAAACAAATAAAGATTTTGTTTAACAATATTTGAAAGTAGAGTTACTGTAATACAATAAAAAATAAGTGTTAATGTTGGGCAACCCTTGATGAAATTAAATTTTTTGTGTAAATTTGAGCTTTTCACAAACAACGGAAAGTTGGTAACTAAACTTTTTACTTATGCAACGATTTTTGCGAAAAAAATTTGCCTAAGCATTTTAAAGAAATATTTAGTATATAGTTTCAAATTTATATTTTTTTTCAATTTTTTATGATTATTAATATTAGAATACTAAATCGTTTTATTATTTTCTAGTTATTTGTATCCTGATGGACGAGCAGTAAATCCAGACCTTAGTTGGGCCGTCCAATCTCCTTCAGAAGATCACATAGCTGTTACACAAGAACAATACGAACTTTATTGTGAAATGGGTAATAATTTCTTAAATAAATAATAAAGAGCAATTTAGTGATAAAAATATTTTGTCTAAAAAAACTCAACTTAAGATCATCGTTATTTTCTTAAAACTTATGGATAGTGAAGTTAGTTTAGTTCGAAAGTAAGTTACAAACAAGATCTAAGTGTAACTTTATTCTACTTATCAGTTTCTCATACAGTTACAATCCCATTTGAAGACATTTAGGTACAAATTTGTATTGCAACATATTTGATATCTATTTTTTTTAATATTGTTTATTGTTTGACTTTGTATACTCGTCCATTAGTCATATATATTTTATAAGATAACTTTACAATTTAATTTTATTGCGCACCATATATTCTTTTTTGTCTATAAATCTTATAAAATTAGTTGGGAGGGAGATTTTTTGCATTACTATCTCCCTCCATAGCTACCCTTTTTCATTTTTGCACTTCATACTGGTGCTCAGCATCCGCCATAGTCACTCCACTATAACCTATTTATCACTGGACATACCAAAGGGTCAAATGACTCGTTTTAAACTCTGAACGAAATGCATGTCATTATTTTATTGTTTTTGTATATTTGACTTTATCAATTCTATGTGATAATTTAGAATTAATATAGTATTTGGATAATTCCGATTAATGCTTTGTCGTATATTCTTCAACCACTACTGATCATTTGACCCAGAAAGTTCTTTTCTATTTTATAGGGTCTTACAGGATCTTTATGCATATTTCTGCAAAAACTTATGATTTTGCTTGCATATTTCCGCAAGAAAATTGCTTAAAATAGTTGAATCATATTAGCTGCAAATCATTTACAGAAAATATGAAAGGTTTAGATAGGACGTAGCATTTTAGGGTTTGTCAAGATACCAAAATTGATTTTTTTGGAAAGGGTTTTTTTTAATCTAGGTTAAAGTCGAAGCAAACAATTTAGTATACACACGATATTGAAGTAAAACTTTTTTTGTTATTGTACGAGATGACGTATTAATGTCAACCACTATACTACTATTTTAAAATAATTACTCACTATCTTACTTCAAATGTGATAGGTTGGTTGGTAAATTGTGTTAGCAAATTGTCTAAATTGCTTTTGAAATCTAGGCATCAATAGTGGCACCAAATAGATAATTATTCTTCTACAAAATTAATCGATGTTAGAGATTCATTCGAGTGAAACTTGATATTGAAATGTCAGCAAATGATATCTCATTGAAAATAGTATTTAGAAGACTTTAATCTTTATTAGAGATATTAAGTGGTTGCTAATGAATAACTCTGAATAAGTTATATAATACTTCATTTAGTTTTCATAGTCATATAGAGTAACACAGTAATGACTAAATATCAATTCGTTCAGTATTTATTCAAATTATTACTTTATCTTGAAGATCAGACGTTTCAAGACATTGTGTTTTGATATTTGAATAACAACAGTGAAATATCATCAAAACTTATTTGTTGTAGAAAGTTTTTTGTACTGTTGTTCTCATTAAATTCAATTTAATTTCACGAATGACGAAGCCCTTTTGTTGCATTTTCTCTAATTTACTCCCTAAAGACATTTTGCTTCAAAAGTATAAATGCTGTTAGTAAAGTTCCAACAGCATTTACATTGGTAATTGATTACCATGTTTATGATCAATGTAAGACCATACACAATTAAAGAAGCAAAGAATGTTAGGATCCAATTGGAGTTTAGATGCATTTACTGCAACTTTATCTATGGGCACAACATAATAAATTATAAAAACCATCTAATCAAGTTTGCATATAGCAAATATTGAATAAGAATTTAAATAACATTCATTGCTGATAGTTGATCAATTGAAGAACAGCTTTCTTGCTTATAAAAGCTTCATAGTAATACATTAAATAGCTCTTGAATGGATAAAAGTGTAAATAATAAATTTTTGATAGAAAAGAAATAATTAGAAATATTGATTTTGTATTAATAATTGCATGTTTTTTTCAGGGAGCACCTTCCAACTGTGCAAAATATGTGCCGAAAATGATAAGGACATCAAAATCGAGCCTTGTGGACACCTTCTTTGTACGCCTTGTCTTACTTCATGGCAAGTTGTAAGTAATCAAAATCATATACATAAATATTCACTTTTTCTGCATACTTTGCTAGATGAAGAGGATTATTTTCAAATTCTCAAGAACATAACCAATGGATGGACTGATCTATGTGGATAAGCTTTAGCTTTTTTAAATTTATCATAAAGGAGGATGCTTCTAATGCTGTCTAATTGATATTCAAAAGACTTTCTTTGTTATCAAATCAACCTCCTAAAATAGGAAGTAGAAAGTAGAATTTTGAGACTGGAAATAGACTTCAAAAGTCTGATCAATGTCGGTGATTTTGAGATTGGAAGAAAAACTAAAAGACAAATTAGGGTGTCAGTAAAAATATGATTAAAAATTTAGATATGCTTTATGCAAAAATGGAGTGGTAGTGTTATGCTTTATCAATTAAATGATAGTCTGAAAACCAAATATATTTAATTATTTTTTATTAATTTTTCCCATCTCTTCCAGGATTCCGATGGCCAAGGTTGTCCATTCTGCAGAGCCGAAATCAAAGGCACAGAGCAAATAGTTGTGGATGCTTTTGATCCAAGGCGACAGCACCAGAGAAATTCTAATTCTAATTCAACATCAAATAATTGTTCGAAGACTTTGGTCCAAACACAATCTAATAATTCCAACAACAGTTGTGAAGATGCTTTCGATGATGCGGAGGTAAAGAAACAACCACATGTTGTTTGATGAAAATTTTAGTTTGTTTTGTCCGTTTTTTGTATCATCAGGAAGATATCATACTGGGTTCAAATGTTTGGTAATAAATCACTTATTCATTTATTTACTTTCATGGATAAATAAAATGAATGGGAATGACTTTTACTTATTGACATCTTGATCTACTAACATATACCAATTTTTCTATTTTACTACGCTTTTTGGAAATATAAAAATATAAAGAAAGAAATTGAGTTGAAAGGTAACACCAGAAGTTTTCGTCAAATTGAATTTTATTGCTTCATACAAATTTTACTAAATGTCTTCTTAAAATTTCCAAGTTTTATTTTAACTTGGAATTTGCATATATGAAATTATTATGAATTATGCATCATGTAAAATATGTGTAAAAGTACATTAAATAACCAGTAGAGTCGTAAATCAGTAGAGTAAATAGTCAGTTTTTCAAATTACAAGTTTCACAACTTTTCACTCGGATTCGGCTCAAAATATATATAAAACTCGTAATTCGCGAGTGGAAAGGGTTAAAGATCTAAAAATTCATTTTCAACCAATATCAAAAAACTTATGCATAAGCAGTACAAGCACTAGGGGTCCTGCAGACCCCAGCTTTTGGGCAGACTATAAGCTTTATTAAAAAAAATGAAAATAAAATTTGAACTATCTACAATGCGAGCATACATTTTTAGAGGTAAATAAAATTTTGAAGGGCTGAAAAATGCTTGGAAAAGAGGGGACCTTGTGAAAAATGTTTTTTTTTTTAAATATCGTAACTTCGTAAAGTTTAACGATAACAAACTTTTTATTTTACACATTTATTTTTATTCTAAAACATATGCAAAATACACAACCTTATAAAAATAGTAATACTATCCATGAGAGTAAGTGCTCTCATAGAAATGTTCATAACTAAAATCTTTAATAAAACTAACTTGTCTCAAAAGCAAGAATATTATCCAAATCAATATCAGCAAAATTAGTATCATCCAAATCAATATCAGCAAAATTATCCCTTTTGAGGGATAAATAAAAAGCAAAATGTGATTAATGTGAGTCACCACATCCTGGTTTTGGGTGTAGGTGGTTGGTACGCCAAACTTTCTAAAAGATTTTCTGTGAGCTTTTTTAAACCACCGGGATACAAGTCAATGTAGTCATCTATAGAAGGTTTTTCATGGTAAACCTCATCGTCGTCACTGGTGACACGTTTTCCTTAGCAAGACTATTTTTGTGCTCTTTTTCTTTGGTTCTTGTTTTTGTGACTTTAGTTGCTTGGACTTTAGGGCTCTTTGGCAAATTTTGTTTCAAGAGTTTGAGGTTCGTTAGACCCAAGGTGTAGAAAATACATTTTAACTCATTTATCGCAAGTTCTTACATGAAAACCAGACTCGTGGTACTACATTACGTTTAAACTTTTTTGCATGATTGAAGTTCATGAATTTGACTCTAAATATAATTTTGAGGTCCAGTAGACCCAAAAGTGTACGAAAAACGTTTTAACTCATTATTCCTAAGTTCTTAGCCGAAAACTCGACTTCTGGTCTTTACGTTGAAAACTTTCATTACGTTGAAATTTCTTGCATATCTGAAGTTCATGAATTTGACTCTAAATATAGCTTTGAGGTCCAGTAGACCCAAGGTATACGAAAAACATTTTAACTCATTTATTGCAAGTTTTCACGTGAAATATAGACCTTTGGTACTTCATTATGTTTAATTTTTTTTTGCATGATTGAAGTTCATAAATTTGACTCTAAATATAGCTTCGAGGTCCAGTAGACCCAATGCGTACGAAAAACATTTTAACTTATTATTCTCAAGTTCTTACATAAAAACTAGACTGGTGGTACTTCATTTAAATTTTTTTGCATTATTGAATTTCATGAATATGACTCTAAATATAGCTTTGGGGTCCAATAGACCCAAGGTGTACGAAAAGAGTTAGCTCATTTTTCGCAAGTTCTTATTTGAAAACTAGACTCGTGGTACTTCATTACGTTTAAATTTTTTATATGACTGAATTTGACCCTAAATATAACTTTGGGGTCTAGTAGACCCCAGGTGTTCGAAAAGGGTTAAACATTTTAACTCATTTATAGCAAATTCTTAATGAAAACTTGAATTTTGTTTAAAATAAAATTTGAAAATTTCAAAAATACATTTAGTAAAATTTATATAAGGCAATATAATTGAATTTGGCGAAAACTTCTAGTACCTATTAACTCTACCTATTAATTACCTATTACCTAAAAAGTACCTATTAATTCTACCTATTAACTCAATTTCTTTCTTTAAATTTTTATATTTGCAAAAAGCATAGTAAAATTTTTTATGAAGATAAATTTTACGTTTAATTTTTTTTTGCAAGATTGGAGTTCACGAATTTAATTATAAAATTGGTAAAAAAACATATTTAATTCATAGACAAATTTTACTACCTGCATAGGAAATTTTATTATTATGCCACACATTTTTACCCAGTTTGATAACATATTATAAGTAGGGAATATGCATGACATTTTAATAAAAATTCATCTTATATTACATTAAGTTTTTTCATCATCCATTAGAAGATTTTTGCATTTGATTATTGGCATGATTTTGCATGCTCATCGAGTACACTTTTTGCATCTGCAATTATTGCATCATGCATGTTTGATAAGCACTTAATTTTTATTTTTTAGCAAACTTAGATATTAAAATATTTAATAAATAATCATGCATATTCTTTACTGTTTTTGCGTCATTAAGTTTTTATTATTACTAATTATCACTTGTTTTCGAATAAACAGAACATTTAGACATACTTGCATCATAAATTGGAATTGTATTTATAATTGTAGTTTTAAGGAAAAACATCGATTGAACTAACAAATGAAAACGTATTTTTGTTTGTTTTTATCTATAATATGTATAAGTTATTTTGAACATTTTGAAAACATCAATATTGATGAGAGTAACGAGGTATGGAAATATATCATATTGAGTTTAGACATAAATTGAACCGGGGAAAAATTAAACCGGTGCATTTTTCCAATATAAAAAATCATACTTGAATTTTTCTGAGTTGATTCACAAAAATTTATTTCCATTATCTTTTTTTTTTATTTTTTTCGTATCCAAAACCGTTAAAAAATGTACATAAAAATAAATGTATATAATTTATTTGCTTAATATATTTTTTAACTTTTATTGAAGTTCAATTTTGTATTAGAACAGTATTTTATTTTTAAGTTAATTACAAGTGCTTCCTCATATTTTAAATAAGCGGACGTAAGTCGTTATTTAATTAGTTAATAAATATTATTTATTTTAATTACTTATTATATCCAATTATTAGAAAATTAATTCATTACCACATGCTTACAATCTTACCTTATTATTACATGTATAATTTCAATAATTCATAGAAATTTACTTGTAAAGGATTCCAATGGATAAAAAAGTAAAGGATGTTTCATTTATATATTTACGTATAGACTGCGAATAATCAAGCATAATAATTATTTGTGCAGATTTTAAATTATATAAATATAATATCTTTGTAAAATAACATATTGGCAATCAGCAAAACAATTTTTTTAACTATGTTTCTCTAATAGTTTATAATAAATTGTCTTCGATATTAATATTCTAGTACAGAAATATTTCAAAATTTGCTTTGCCAAAATTATAAAACAAATATTTAAATTTTATTTAGTTTGAAGAAAAAAACTGATTTTTTTGAAATTAACATATGATTTATGATGCATGTACATAGGTATGTCTGCATTTGTTATTAATACAACTTTTTGCTAATAAGAAAGTTTGAATATATTGCATTTGTTATAAAAATTGTGCAATATCCTCAAACTTATATATCATTAGCAATTATAGCATGAAAACTATATATTTTGTTTATTTTTAGAACCCTTGGAATGTGCATTTTGCCAATATTGTATATATATATATATATATATATATATATATAATTATATAAGTATATATATATATATATATATATACAGGGTGTCCCAGAACTCAACGCCAAGCCGAACGAGATGATAGTACGCCTTGAAAAAAATTACCTCACGTTTTTCGGAAGTTATGAGCTTTTAAGTGAAACCTTGAGCTTTGGTGAAATTATTACCATTTTACGGTTATTGCGGTTAGTTTTTATTAATTTTGTTCGTTTAAACTATAACATCTCTAAGACTACAGTAAAAAATAATAATGCAATTGTCCCAAGTTTTCAAGAATTAAGACTTTTTGTTCGACTATGAAACTAAATTTTTGAAATTAGTCGACCTTAAGAGGCCATCCTTTAGGATAAATGTACTAAAATATGTTGGCAAGTGTCACCAAAAGTTGGCGCATTTAATAAGGATTGTAAAAAGGTAAATTACTTGATCATTTTATTATTAAAAAATTTTGAGTAAAAAATAAAAATCTAAAAATAACGAATTTCGCTCACATTCAGTTCAAATGTTGCTCTCTTGAACTGATCGTGACTTAAATGCACTAGCAAAAATCATGTTCTTTTAAGGTGCTTATATTTTACTCAAAAATTTTCATTAATAAAATTATCAAGTATTTTACCACTTTGCATTCCTAATTAAATACGCCAATTTTTTATGAAACTTGCCAACACACGTTAGTACAATTTTTTTTAAAAAAAGGGGCTGTTAAAGTCGATCGATTTTAAAAATTTTAATTTCTTAGTTCAACTAAGAGGGATAATTCTTGAAAACTTACGGCAATTGTGTTATTATTTTTTACTGTGTTCCTAGAAATGCTATTCACAGTTAAAGTTCCAAAGTTTATATATGATCTATATAATTTATTAAAATACAAAACAAAATCGTTTATTCCAATTTTAATCTGTAGTAATTAATTAAATATTAATGCTCAATATTAAGTTCTGAAATTATTTAATTAAATGAAAAATTATATAAACAATTTTTAGAAAAACAGGCCGTTTGTTCAAAAAAATTTAATTGTTTGTTAGTAAAAAAAGAATTCCTTAACAACAAAACTTGTCTTTAAATTAAATTTGTTGAAATTTTAAGAGTATGCTAATTAATTGAAAGTCAAGTTTTTGCAAAAATTTTAATTTTATACGATCATTATTTTTAAAAAGACATTAATCATATTAATTATTAACATTACTTAGTGCAAAAAATGACAAAATAGTGAAAAAAATCAAAACTTAATCCAATTTATTAATTGCAAAAGGATTGAATAATTAAACAAATAATTTCTACATCTCCGAAACGTAGAAAAAAATACAAAAAAAATCTAATAAATATTTTTTTGCACACCATAGCCCTTAATTATGTAATTTATACATATTACTCATATTATGTAATAAAATAAATTTAATTCATTAACAAAATTCATTAACAAAAAAATCTTCAAATTTAATCCAATGTCATTTCCAAAATCAATTAATTATTTAAGTAAAAAAAATTAAAATATATATTTCTTATCAAAGTACTTTCAAAAAAACATTTTTTAGTAAAAAAAAAATTACTATAAATTATAAACAAATAACACTTTAACAAAATATGCATCACCACGACAATAGATAGTATGGCACTAGTATTATTTTTCTGAATATATTTTTTTTCCTTCAATTTTTCTTCATAGCATTGCAAAGAACAAGAATGCAAACCATCCTCCAACTTCTTATAAATTCCTGGATTTTGGCAATTTTGACATTCATTATACTTTTCCAAACCATTAAACTCAAAAGGTTGCAAAATCTCATCATCCATCAACTCCGAAATTTTTTTCTGGTGCTCCAAAACTTTTTTACTCAAATTCTTGGGCTTCAACTCCTTGGCCAACTTGGTAATAAATTTATTATAAGAGTTTGGTTCATTTTGGTAAAACTTGGACTTCATAAAAGCTGATCTATGATTGGAGACAATTGATGGTAAATTGCGTTTAGGTACTTTTGGCGGTAATACATGAATTGGTTCATCGTCAACTGGCTTTGCATGCTTGTTCTGGTCAAAAACTTTTACTACTATGTCAAATGGTTTTTTAAATGTAGACCTCAGCAGCTGCAGTGTCCAGTTGATCGTAAACAACAACACCAAATCTAGAATTTTTGTTGGTTTTTATACAAGCTTCCAGAACTTCACCGAAGCTTTGGAAGATGTTCCTCTCAAGCCTTTTTCGGTGAGTTCTCCTGGTATATTGGCGATGAAGAGTTTTATTTTTTCCTCGGTTTTGTATTTGTGGACGTCCCCCATGTTGCCACTTGGTCCTGGTTCGAAAGAGTTGGCTTGGGAGTAGTAGTGCTTCGACATTGGGTCGAAGAAGTCCGAAGGACACTCGGGTTGGTTGTGAATTCTTTCCATTTTTAGAGGGTGATGGAATTGGTGGTTTAGTCTTTTGGACCGCGGCACCGATATGCATGAAATGTTGATAAAGTTTTTTCAATTTTTTCATAATATTTTACTGCAAAACCCAATACGACTTGCCCGCGCAAGCATCATTTGGCGACTGATATATGAACATAATTAATAAAAATTAACCAAAAAAAACGAAAAATTGTCATAATTTCACCAAAGCTCAAGTTTGCACTTAAAAGCTAATATTAATAACTGGCCAAATTCAGATAATTTCCAACCAACGTCAGATTTTTTTTCAAGACAATTCGTTAAGTTCTGGGACACTCTGTATATTAGTATTTCATGTTCATATATGCAAACAAGATTGCACCTAGTTCCAATTATATGCTACAAACATACCTTAAAGGGCCGTTTTTTAAATAATCGAATAACTGGCCACATTTATTTAATATTTTATTCAATATGATATATTTAAACAGAAAACGTACAGCTAATGACCAGATATTTGTAATATATTTATAAATATATTATCGGTTTTTAATGCCAAAATGATTTTGCGTAAAAATTTAATACGACAATTGATTCGATTTGAAAACGGCTGCTAAAAATGAGGACCTGAAAATGTAAAATGTCAAGGTTATTCGGCTATTGAAAAAACGGCTTTACTATATTTTTCCTAAAAAAAATTAATTTAAGTCGAATTATTCAACAATTTAAAAATGTATAATTATTTTCTAGAAGAAATGTTTTTGTTTTACTATTTTGTTCATGTAGATTTATAACCAAAAATTTATAATCAATTATTTATTTTGAAATATCTTGGTATTATCCATAGTATTAATAACATATAAATATTTTAGTTTTTTAACACGCTATTTTTCAGTGATGAAAATAGCCTTCGTATATAAGGTTAATACCAGAAATGCGTAAAATTACAAATAATTGCAATCTCCATTGAGTAATTTTAAAATTATTTATATTGTTGTAGTTAATAAATTGAGAACAGGAAAACAATAAACTATTATACGATAAATTACAAATTGAAATTTATTTTCGAAATTTTATTGATTGCCGATTTGCATGTTTTGACAAAAAGTGGAGTTTTTGTTACGCTTAGTACATAAATATCATGTTCATTGGCAAAGAATAATTTGCTCAAGCTTATGATTCAAATTTTGTATGAAATATTTAAAGTATAACGCATTTTCTTCTGTAATTTCTTATTACAAAATTTGATTTGTTTGAAGCAAATTATTCTCTAACATTTGCTCAGCTGTATGTAAACTCCATTTTGAACTAGAACTATAATTCGACTTCTGTCTACTCAATTTGTTTTAAAGTACTTTTGCATTATTATTGAGTTATTTTTTTAAAAGTTCAAAATGGCAATTTACCATACCTGATCAATCACTAACCCTGAATGGTTTTATAATAATTTTAATAAGCAGTGGCACCAAATTCATTTTATTCAAGTGCAGCTTTCTAGTGTTTTGTTCTGTTTTGATAGTGCAACAAATCGTAGAAAATGATTTCGTAGGCTTTGGTAAGTTTTCGTTTTATTTTCTTTCATTTTTTTTTTGTATATCATTATTTGAAAGGGCCGTTTTTTCAATAGACCGAAAACTAAGTCATATCTATTAATAATAATATGTAAACGTTGCATTTATTTTTTTAATGTAGAAATCTTTAGATGATTAACAAAATTGTAAGATCTTTGATGATATCATATGATCATCAGCTGAATTTTGTACTAACAAGGAGAACCTCAGTCCAAACAAACTTATCATCATGGTAAGATTCAACAGAATCCAACAGGGGTAAATCTTATGTTCTCCTTGTGAGCCACTTGATGATATCAAATGATCATCACTTTCAGTACTAACGAGGAAAACTTCAGTTTTAGTCATAATGATAAAGTTGATGGTTCAAACAAAACCCATCATCATGGTAAGTTTCATCAAAATCCAAGGTGAGTAAATTTGATGTTCTCCTTGTAAGCACTTGATGGGGTCAAATGATCATCAGTTTCATTTTGTTTCAACATGGAGAACTCCTGGACTAAACCTAAGGTTCTCCTTATTAGTAAAAAATGACGCTGATGATCATTTGATATCAAGTGGCTTACAAGAATACCATTAGATTTACTCTCCTTGGATTTTGATGAAACTTACTATGATATGACATATTACGTTTGGACCATGGACCTTATCACCATGCATATTTTGATCAAAATCCCAGACGACTAAACCTGAAATTATCCTTGTTAGTACAAAATGACGCTGATGATCATTTGATATTATCAAGTGGCTTAGAAGGAGACCATTAAATTTACTCTCCTTGGATCTTGATGAAACTTATCATGACGATTGGTTTTGTTTGGATTATCAACTGTTTGAATCATTTGGTGGGATGTCGATGAAACATGGCAATAAGGTTGATGGTACAAACAAACTCATCATAATGGTAAATTTCATCAGAATCCAAGATGAGTAAATCTTATGTTCTCCTTCTAAACCACTTGATGATATCAAATTATCATCAGCTTCGTTCTGTACTAACAAGGAGAACCTCAGATTCAGTCATTTGGTAAACTTATCATGATGATGGTCATCGATTCTATCACCATGCACAGTTTCACCGTTCATGATATAAAGTGGCTTACAAGGAGACCATTAGATTTGCTCTCCTTGGATATTGATGAAACTTATCATGATGTTTGGTTTGTTTGGTACATCAACTCTTGAAGTCTTTTGGGATTTTGATGAAACATGGCAATCAGGTTGATGGTCCAAACATACCTATCGTCATGGTAAATTTCATCAGAATCCAGGAGGAGTAAATCTGACGTTCTCCATTTTGTACTAACAAGGAGAACCTCAGGTTTAGTTGTCGGGGATTTTGATGAAACAATGCATAGTGATAGAGTCGATGGTCCAAACAAATCCATCATCATGATAAGTTTTATCAAAATCCAAGATGAGTAAATCTGATGTTCTCCTTGTAAGGCACTTCAAGCAATAATCGAAGAAATCTGACAACAATGTCTATTGAGTGAGAAGTGAGGCAGTTTACAGATTCAAGTTTGTATGCGAATCATTTAAGGAATATTGCATATATTTTTATAGATTATATTTCTTTTTGATTTTTTTTTTGCCAACTTGCTGTCTAATTTAAATCTGCAATGAAGGAACTTACTCATCAGTACTTGCGAGCGAAATATAATGGAACAATCTAACGAATTAATGTTTTTCTTGAGATCAGCCTTTGTAAAAATAAGTACAAAGAAGTGCAAATAATATAAATTTATTTATCAAAATTTACTAAGTTCATGATGAAGTAAACAACTATTTTTATTTGTGTAATTTTTAATTTTAATTCTTTTCGAAAAAATAATATCATCAATTTCATAAAAGTTGACTTATTTTGCTTGGCATTTTATATTCACTCAATAGACAAATGTTTATTTTTTGCCTTGAGCAGATTGAAGTTTCAATTTGTTCAAAATATTCTTCAACTATTTGCATTGCATATATTTTCGATTATATATGATGATTTATATATAAAAGTCATTATGGTTGTCTTTTGCCTGTTTTATATAGATTTTCAGTTTATTCTTGAACACTGCAACTGCATGCTGATATTGTAATGATATTTTATTTTACTTTAAACTGAATTATTTACAATTCCTTTTTAATTACAGAGTAAATGCAAGTTATCTGTTATCTCTATAAAATAAAGATTGAAAAAATATCATTACATGTATTGTGTATGTGTATTATTATATGTTTATATTATGTGAATACTCGAAAAAGCGGCCCTCATGTATATTTTATTGTTTGTCTTATTGGAAGACGTAGATGTTTTTGTCTTTATTATATTCATTCATTCATTCATTTTGTCTTTACGATATTCAAATATAAAAGGCGGCTTCTAATTCGCCAATAGAACGATTCAAAAATTTTATTAACGAAAGACAAACCTGTTTCTTGGATCAAATTTTATTTAATACTGATTTAGTAGAATTTGTTTAATATATAAACCTAAACTAGTATTTAACAACAGATAGAGAAAATCAGAATTCTTTTAACAGATAATTTGTAAATTGAGTATATTGTTGTCCAAACCATAAACTATGATCACAAATACTAAAACTGATACACTTTCTTTCAAAAATTTGAGTTATTAACAATAATATGAACGAAGTATGCCCTATTGCTTATTAGCAAAATCTTAGAAAACATCTTGTAATTTAACAAATTTTTAAAATTGCACTTATTCATTCTAGAATGTTGTAATTTGAGTATGTTGCTTTTCAATCTATAAACTATGATCACGAATACTAAAACTGAAACATTTTCCATCAAAATTTTAAACTATCAACAATAATATGAACAACAGACGAAGTAAGTAAATTGTTTTTCTCGCTCCGAATTCTCTTTTAAAAGTTTTATTTTCACTAGCGAATTTGTTTAACAAGTTTTTAATAATTTGGTCCATTATTCTGATCACTTTGTCTTTGGGTATAAACCCCCACAGACATTTTTTTAATTTTTTTATCCAATCATACTTTCTTGCGGTATTTTATAATTAATTTTTGCCCAAAAACAGGTTCGATAAACTATCTGACAATTGGCAAAATCCAACCAACCAATTGCATTTTATTGTGCCATGGTTGATAACAAATTGCTTTGTGAGGGCCATTTGTTGCATCAATACATGATTGATCCTAAAGTAGTATGTTTTTAGATGAAGCTTTATTTCCTAATATAATACCGAAATAATTCTATTTCTTTTCTCAAGGATTCCGGAGACTTCAACTTCTCTACAAGCACTCTGCACGCCCTCAGTGGTAAACTGAAGCTCTCCCGTAGTCCTCCAATGTCACCAAGACCTAGCCGAAGGTCTTTGACACCCAGCAGTTCCACAATAGTCCAAAACCATTCACAAGTTTCTTCCTCAGTAACAAGTACCTCAAATTCTGAAATATCATCACAGGATTCGACATCTTCGTCAGCAACTAGTAGCAACTCCGTTTCCAATTCGCGTCAGAATGCAGATATATTTTTGTATCCAGAAGAAATTTTGACGCAAGAACCTGAAGGAGTTGTATATAACGGTTACAATATGCCTCGAATAGCGAGCTCGAAGAAAATGGGGAATCAAGAAATTTCTAGTAAAAATTTGAGACAAGTTTGTCAACATTCGGCAGTTCAGGATAATGTTGTGAGGCAGGATCCTACAGCGCCTCCTCTGCCGCCACGAAAAAGTGCAGCTGAAATTTCTCTTCCTGCAGTGAAGGAACTGAAAAATTCGAACAAATCGAATATTACATCTAGTTTAACCAATTTGAATGATGCAGGTCAATCTGCTGTACCGAATATGCTGCAGTTGCCGCCTAAAACCTTGACGGGCAGTAAAAGTTCAGAAAATTTATCAAATCTTGATCCGTTGACAAAAACAAAACAAGCATCTTTGGATTCTGAACAAGACATCAAAACAAATGTGAAGTTGTTCTCTTTTGATGTCCCCAAAACTATTGCCCCACCTGTTCCTGTAACGGAGAGCAAAATAGAGAAATGTTTTATATCTTCATCAAACGAAGTTATTGTAGGACCTGCCGAGACTATTATAGGACTTATAGACACGCGAACTCCTAACCAAATAAAATTATTCAATGGTAAATCTGAAGAAACCAATGGACAACAAAGTGCAAACAACTCACAAACCACAAATTTGTACCACATAAAAACTAGTTCTTCAAATTCTCACATCAGGCACCAGTCTTTACCCATGGTGGCAGTCTTAACTCAGGCAACTTCAAATGCCCCTTCAAAATCTCAAACTGTATCAGAAAAATTAGCGTACGAGAACGTTAATGTCCAATTAAAATTCAAACAAAATCCATTATGCATGGCCAGTTGTAGTAAAGATGAGGACATGATGAATGTGCCATATGAAAATATTAATTTAGAGTACATAGCAAAATTAGTTTCCGAAGGTTATTCGAAAGAAAACGTTATTAGGGCTTTAGGTATATCTAGGAATAACATTGAAATGGCTTGTGATATTTTGCACGAGTTTGCCTCCAAAAATAGTTGTTCACATTGAAGTAAAACTGTTACTTCACCCATATTTATGGAGAATCATATATGTATATGAGAAATTGTTGGATATTTTACGATTCACTTTGTTTATATTGAGTTAGAAATTCATTGATGTTTTCGAACTGTATGGTAGTCATACCACATTCAGTAGTATTTTTTGTTTGGGTTTGTTTTTGTTATAGAAATTAAGGGACCGATTCTGCCGCACAACAGATCAATGTTATGGCAAGGCCATGTTACGCTCCAACTTCCATACGTTATGCTACTAAATCATACTGAATACTGTCATGGCGTGTGTTTGCTGTGCATTCAGGCGTTTTACACATAAACTGCAACGTCACTCGTATGTTATGAAGCTGGTTCAGAAAGACCCTGTTATCTAACATCATTATTTTGACATTTGTGCGGTATCTAGAGTAAGTTTTCTATCTGACATCCTGAAAAAGACGCCTGACTGCGCAGCAACCACATGGTTTTTGTCAATATTTAGTATGGAAAGTTCTTCATAACATTGCCTTGCCATATCATTGGTCTGTTATGCGGCAGAATCGGCCTATAATTTTGGTAAATCATTGTTAATTATTTGCGTTAAAGTTCATTGTTGTAATTTATTCAATTAAATTTGCTTGCAGTTTCTCAATGCAAGTTAAAAATGCTGTTATATACAAGGTGTCCCAGAACTCAACCTCAACGCCACGGGTCAACCGATTTGAATGGTTTAGAAAACATTCTTTTCTTGTTGATAGGGAGATGTGCTGGTTAGTTTTTGGCAAAGGCAGTCATTTCGGAGATAGCAAAATCGATTTTTTGAGAGAACGTATAATCCGATTTGAATGATCCAAAAAACATTCAATTCGTAATGATGGGGAGAATTTATGATTAGTTCTTGGCAGAGACAAGTCCAGTTGTTTCGGAGATACAGACCATGCAAATAATGGAAGTTTTCGAGAGAACTGAGCATCTGATTTGAATGATTAAAATAACTTTCTGCTTGTGATGACGAAGCAATTGCTTTTGGGAAAAATTTTTTTTTTCATTTTTTCAAAATTCCAATTTTTTTTAATATTGAAAATAATACGGATTTTAATTTTAATTCTATCTAGAGTTCTAAAGCTGTCTTATATACTTTAAATAAATAATTTTAACTTTGCATTTCAGTTTATATAATTCTTATATCAGAAAATATCCTTCATTTTCAATCCGATTGATTAAGTTTTATTTATTTAATATTCTGTAAACATATATAAGTTACAGTATATATAATAATCTATTTAAAAATATTTACTATTTCTCAAATATTTTATAACAGTACGGGAAGTTCTAACAAATTGCCTTAAGACACGATGCCATACACCACTAGTTTTTTCTAATTTTGCTCAGGACAGTTACGGTCAATATTATTACCCTGTTGAGTTCTGGAGTGCCCTGTATATAAGTATTTAAATATGGGTAAAAGGCTTATTAAATACTATTGTTTATCCTTGATGTATGTTTATTAGTTTTGTAAAAATTAAGTTTTATACAAATGAAAAGCTTTTTGACTACGTTGATTACAGAAATGCTACATATCAGAAATGGAAAGCTCTTATAATTTTATTATTGGGATGCTTGAAATTACTAATAAATTTGGCAATAGTTTTTTTAGTAATTTCTTGAATACAAGAAATAAATTTTTAACATTTTATTTCGGCAAAATATATAATAATTTGCATATTTCTAATGGCGAGTTGTATATTCTAAATTTATGTTTCAAATATTAGGGTTTATATAAATTGTAAATATATGAGCTAGCTGTATTATAAATTATTCAGTACTAAGAAATTTATTTTTTGATATCTTAACTTTTTATATTTATTTCTATGCACGAATTGACTTCAAGAAATCAGTAAAGCAAATTAGGAAATCAAAAGTGATTGTTAGCACCTTGATATTCGACAGATAAATAATAAAAGCCCGGTGCACACGACGCCAGTATTTCTTGTAACAGGATATCTGTCTAGAATCTTGCGTCAGATTTTCACTTATTTTATGATTGAT